TAGTTGATTGTTAGGGAGTGAAGGATTGGGGTAGGACAATTTTTTGTAGTTACTGCGAGCTAGTCAGTAAAAACAATTTTTGTACGTTGCGTTTTATCAAGCCTGTTGTCATCTTTAAGTCAACTCCCTAACATGCCCATCTGAGCCAGGATACACCTTTGCTACACGAACCAAACGCCATTCATTTGGACTTCCCATCTCCTGTGACAGTACAACTAAGTCATTTAGTTTTATATTTCCAGATTTAGATTTAGATTTCCATCGACGGCGCAACTCCTGCTGAATGACTTTTAAATTACGCCATCGGTTTAGCAAAGATGTTTTGGTAGTCATTTCTTCTGGAGCCAATCAGAAAATGGCAAGGCATAATAGTTGTTAGATCGTCATTATTTTCCAGTTGTGGGGTCAATGGGCTGCCATTACTTGTCTTTCCGGAATACTAATAGATGAGGGTCAGAATGTATCTTCTTTTTGGAGCCAACTTGGTCCAAACCACCAGTTCTGAAGGAGTCACACCCGGGTTAATAGGTCTGCGGGGTTGTCATGTGTTGCAACATGGTTCCAATTATTTACTACTTTCTCTTGAATTTTCGCAACCCTATTTTCAACAAAGGTTGTCCACGTCTGTAATGGTTTATTAAGCCACGCTAAGACCATTGTTGAGTCCGACCAAAGGCGTAAACTGTTTTTAATACGCAGCTGCGATAGAACAGCGTGAACCAAATTAGCCATAGGTACAATTTTCTACGGAACAAAGTTTTTTATTGTTTACATAAATTGCAGTGAACAAATCACGAAAGCTGGGCTAATTTAAATAATCTCCATGAAGTACCTCTGTATCACTATTGGGACCGAAATTGAGGATCCGAATTTTTGAGTTGGTTTTAAACTTGATGTTTTCATTGTTTCTTTGGCGTCACCAATAAGAGTAAGACATCGCATATGGCTTTTATGAATTTCACTTTGTTTGGTATTTTACCGTAATTTTGTCCTTTTTCTGATAGTCTAAATCAGAAATACATTTTTGTACGAAGCTTTTCAATTCCCCCATAAGCTTTTAACTTCCTGCTTTTCTGCGTCTATGGCATATTGTTGTATTCTTTCTAATTGGTCTTCTTTAGTTGCTGTTCGTATGAAATTATTTCTTCACACTGAATTAAAAAATCTTCCATTACACCCATGACGCTTCGAGTTAGTTAGGCATTTATGAAAGTTTAAATAAAAATATATATTGCAAATCTGTTCCGGCGGTAGGGACAGTTTAGACGTAGTTAATTTAATGTGTTTTAATTCAAGAAAAAGCTATTTTTCCATAATTTTATTTAAAAAAAAATGGGAAATAATATTCCACTTCGAATCAGTCTTTATATTTGGTAATTTCAGGAAAATGTTTACGTTTTTTCAAATTTTATGTTCAACAAGGGACAGATCTAAAAACCCCAGGTATATTCGACGCAGAGACGAAATATATTTTGAGGCAATTCGATGATGTGGCTTAATCTTCTCTAAACAGGAATATTCCAAATATATTTAAAACAGAAATTAATTTATTGCTATTTTTTGTAAGAATTCTATAAAAAATTATTTAATTATGCCTTTTTGAAACACTGCGGCAGATTTACAGAAACTATTTTGATGTTCTCCAATGGAAATTTACAACAGTAAGCTCACTCTGAAATGAGTGACATACATACGTATGTTCATTCTATGTATGTTCTGCCGTTTAGGTGCAGAAATTTAATATTTATTTTTAAAACGTATACAATATTACCTATTTTTTCAAATGCATCTCTTCGTACCACTGTATTGAAATTCCTGTTTTTATACCCTCCACCATACTATGGAGGTCGTTCTAGCCCTGCCCGTATGTCTGTCTGTCCGCCTGTCTGTTGTAATCACGCTATCTTTCGAACGAATTGAGATAGAAATCTAAAATTTTGCACACGTGTTTATTTTTCCAGTAGGTTAAGTTCGTAAATGGGCCATATAGGTCCATGTTTTCATATAGCCCCCATATAACGATACCTATCGATATTTTGATGATGTTAGCGATATTATTCACCGGAATCGTTTCAACTTTGGTATTTGAAGTTCGAAATGGATACTACAGCCTATGACAGAAATTTATCTGTGCAGTTCCACGTCTTCGTATAGCCTCCATATAACGGTACCTTCTGATATTCGGTATTTTGATGATTTTAGCGACATTATTCACCGGAATTGTTTCAAATTTGGTATTTAAGATTCGTAATTGATATTACAGCCTATAACAGAAAATTGTCTGTGCAGATCCATGTCTTCGTATAGCCCCCATATAACGGTACCTTACAAAATTTGGTATTTTGATGATTTTATTGTCATTATTCACAGGAATTGTTTCAAATTACGTATTTAGAGTTCGTAATGGGAATTACAGTTCGTGACAGAAAATTGCTTATGCAGGTCCAGGTCTTCGTATAGGCCCCATATATCAGTTCCTCTCTATATTCGGTATTTTGACGAGTTTAGGTACAATACCCACCGAAATTGTTTGAGATGTCGTATTTGAAGTTCGTAATGGATGCTACAGCCTATAACAGAATATTGTCTATGCTGGTAAAGGTCTTCGCACAGCTACGATATTACGGTACCTCCCTCTATACGATATTTTGTTGATTTTAGCTACAATGTCCGCCGTTTATTTCAAGTTTCGAATTTGAATATGGTAATGGCTTATGACAAACAATGCCTATGTAGGTCCACGTCGTATAGACCCCAATTGAACGGCCATATTCGGTATTTTTAAAATCTTAACAGAATTTTTTAAGGATTTTATTTTTTTTAAATTCCCAAATTTGTTACATCTGGTGGAGGGTATTCAAAGTTCGGCCCGGCCGAACTTACTGCTTTTTAACTTGTCAGATCTGAAACAGCCCTGCTCGTGGCCATTTTACTGTGCCATTTAAGGTTGAATGTGCCGCACCACACTCATGATTTTTTTTGCGACATGATTTCTTTCGCTTGTTTCCTTCTTCTCTAACAACACAGCAATAAGAGACAGTCGTAGTTGTTACAAGAGATTACAACAAACGCACAAGCAACCACTCATTTGTCTGTATGTGTCTGTTAGTATGTATGTATGTCGAACAGCCAAACTATTTTGTGCGTGTTTTTTTATTGACACTGGCCTACCCCAACAACAATTTGATGGGTTGCCATACTTTTTTTTTTTTGCATTATTTATTTTTTCGATGCAAAATTGTGATTTTTGGAGAAAATTTACAGCACCGCATGTAACAATAGGAAAATGGATGAATCGACAATCATAAATGCACCGTAGTATGGCTGATATCTACCTGTATTTCAATTTTTTTGTCCCTGGTTGTTGTAGGTTCGTAAGGACAATATGTTAGTGTCACTCAGCTAACTTTCTTCAGCAAAACTATACCCAATTCACGCGGACCACTTAAGGTAAGGCACAGCAAAACGGTGGTTTTAGTCGACCAATAGGGACCGAAAATAAAAACTCAACTAAATGGTTCACAATGTCTCTTTCTTTAACAAAAAAAACAAGCACTTCGTATTTTGGCGATCAACGACCTAAAAATTTATTGATTTATTTCTTATATTTCGACACAAAACAAAAATGCGACCGTCTCTTACGGTGATCAACAAACTCTGTTGCTTCAAAAAGGAGAAAAAGTAAACAAAAGGCAAAGGGCGAGAACTGACATCAATCGTGAGTGATGGCACATCAAATCGTGCACGTACGCAGAGATGAGTTTAGAACCTTTATACACGGCGGTAACTGATGCTAATAATTTGTTCTTTGCGTACGAGTACAACAACAATAATCGAATTTGTACTGTTGATATTCTTACGCTGTCAAATTTTCACTCAGGTGAAGTTGTTTTGTAAATATACAACGAGCCGTAGTTGCACTGTTGATATTCCAGTACGGTCAAATTTGAGCTTGCGCAAAGTTTCTTCCGGATAACAATTCGTTGATGCACTGCTAATATCCTTGAGCAGGTTAAATTTTTACTCGCGTTTTTTGCTGTTTTGCGGGAAACAACAATTCGAAGTTACCCTATTATTATCGTACCGAAAATCGCCTTGAAAAAAAGAGATTCAATTTGTTTTCAACTGCTAATATTCATGAGCGAGTTAAATTTTCACCCATGTTTTTTTTTTGTTGTTTTGTGGGAAACAACAATTCGAAGTTACACTATTGTTGTACTAAATCGCCTTTAAAAGAAGAGATTACATTTGTTTTCAATTTTTTTGTTCCCAACTTTATTTGTCCTTTGGAATTAATTTTTGAGATTCAATTCCTTCTTACTTTCATGTATACATAATACTATAGTCCACTGAATTATACAGCGAGCGATGTCGGTTATTCTACTGTCCACTAAATTATATATAATTATATATATATATTTGGTGTTTGGTCGTTTTTTGTCTGTTTCCGAACAAAATTTGGTATAAACTGGTAGTTTGTGTTGCCTATATGTAGGAAACATCCTTAAAAAGAACGGTCCATATATAGGTATAGCCCCAATATAACTGTACCACCGATACTTAGTATTTGCTGACTTCAGTCACATTTTCCCCCAGGATTGCAACAAATTCGGTATTTGGAGTTCGTAATGGATACCACCTACAATGACAGAGAAATGCATATGAAGGTCCATGTATTCCTATAACATCCATATAACGGTAGCTCCCTATTTTCGGTATTTTTATGGTTTAAGCTCCACTCTTTATTATTTTAAATTTAGAAATTGGAGTTCGCAATGGGTACTACTTTCTACTTGGAGTTCGTAATAGGCACCACCATCTCTCGCAGATAATTACCTACAGAGGAGCGCGTTTTTTCATACTTTTTATGCAAATGAGAGTAAAACTACCTAGTCTCTCCGTAAGACCTAATGATGTTTAAGGTTGTTTTTTTTTTAATATACAATAAATTTCAACATATACATTTTGCCAGTTAAAAAATAAAATTATTTGATTTTTAGTGCCTCCAACACTACGTGCTCTCCCACATAACGGCCAAGTAACTGCAAGGAAAGGCAGCACCGTCACGCTGGAATGTAAAGCATCTGGAAATCCCGTACCAACGATATACTGGTTTAAAAAGGATATGTTTTCCGGACCTACACATTTATCCGACAGCTCGACATTAATATTGGAAAACGTAGACAGACATCATGCTGGAATATATCAATGTTCTGCCGATAATGGTGTTAAAGAAAGAGTTTCGATGGATATTCAATTAACGATTTTATGTAATCTCTTTTTTAAAATATTGTCTCACATCTTTAAAATGTAATATTTTTTATAGCACCCCCAGAAATAACCGTTGAAAAGTCATGGGTTCATGCTGCCGAAGGGTACGATATAGAATTAGTGTGTATTGTTCACGGAGATGTTAATTCAGAGGTTTGTAATAATTTGTACTTCTAAGTAATTTCACACCAGATTTAACAATCCATTTTTAGATGCTTTGGTATCAGAATTCTTTTTTGTTAGACGCAACTGATAGACGGTCAATGTACTCACGAGATGACCGTTACAGCTTAATAATAAGAAATTTCCAGTCCTCCGATTTTGGAAACTACAGTTGTGTAGCTGATAATGCACTTGGAAGAACTAAAAAATATATAGAAGTATCAGGAAGACCTGGTCCTGCCGATTTTATTTCTCCAGCCTTAAGCGGTTCTTTAGATCATTATAATCTAACGTGGACGATTGAAACAATTCCGGCACTCGAAGAAACAAAGCTTTTATATAGAAGGCTTTTGGTAAATTGTTAATATTTAATTGTGGATTTATTCGTGACAAAAACTTTGTTTTAGATGAATGAAACTTACCAGCATCCTGGGAAATGGCATGAATTCCACATAAAGGCCACAGCGGTTAGAACAGACAACACTCATTACATAATGTCATATGTTATAAAAAATTTGGAACATAATGCCGTATATGAAGCTATAGTTCAAGCTAGAAATAAATATGGATGGAATGAGGTATGTTGTCAATTATTAATTTAATATATTATAATGCTTATCACAATTATTTGGAAACAACAAGAATTTATGAACAAATGTGTATACTTATTATATCACTAATATTTTTTGTCTTTGGCAAGATGTGAAATTACAACCACTTTAGTTAAAAATGCTAAAAGTATATATATATATATATATATATATATATATATATACATATATATATATATATATATATATATATATATATATATATATATATATATATATATATATATATATATATATATATATATATATATATTCTCATGTTTTCCCTATTTCTGGAGTAATTAAAGGGAACGCTTGGGAATTTTTTGTCCTATCAATGAATTTTAAATATCATTTCAAATATATTATAATTCGCGTTTTCAAAAATTTTTACAAATTTAAAAATTTTTCATTCGATATTTTCAATTCCAAAATTAGTTTGACAGTTTATTCATTCTTCTGCCATGCCCTGTACATTGTGGTGAAATAAGATTTTAAAGCAGCGCTCTCTAACCCACCGCCATGGGAAATTCACCACATCTGACAAACAATCATAGTATGCAAACACGAACATGTATACACTGGGTTGGCAGCCGCTGGCCGAAACTGGAGTGTTGTTGTTTCGGGTCAATCCGGTGTCGTAGAACCCGCTGCCGTGGGACCTACGCTTCGCTTCAGAGAACTGCCCAATCCTTCTGATGTTCGGGTAGCTGAAAAGATTTTCCGGGACATCATCAAAGCTGCAGGCGCTCGATATACCCGCTGTATTCGACCAGCCCGAAGTAAGACCAAATTTCCCAGCAGAGGCAGCGGGATTAGCGAATGAGCGTGATGAGCTCCGACGTACCAACACTACTGATCCCATAGTCAGTGAACTCGCAGTGAAAAAAGCGGTAATATCAACAAGGTAAGCGTTTAACCGATAGCAAATGTCATCAATAATGGGTCCTGACGCCACAGGCGCACAATCATCTGCGTACGTTATAATCTCTATGCCGCCTGGAGGACGTGGAGTGCCAGAAAGGTAGAGGTTAAACAGTTCCGCAGATATCACCCCACCTTTGGGAACTCCCTGTTTAACTCTACGGATGCTCGAACTCTTGTTTCTAAATTCCGCGTACGACTGGCGTACACACATGTAGTTTACTATCCAACGTTTCTAACTTGGCCGGAGGGCGGTGCGCTCAATGTCCTCGAATATTGTGGCATGATTGACTGTATCAAAGGCTTTTAATAAATCAAGTGACACCATAACTGTTCTATCGCATGGCCTGTTCTGGTTGAAACCTCTGCTGACATGTGTGGAAATGGCGTGTAAAGCTGTTGTGCTGTGCAATTTTCGGAATCCGTGTTGATGATCAGCTACTGGGAAACACTCTCTTATGCTGAGGCCTCAAGCGACTTTGATACTGGTGACAAAAGTGATATCGGCCTGTATGAATCACTTTTGCTGGTATCCTTACCTGGCTTCAGTAGCGGGACTACCCTGCCTATTTTCCAGAAATTGGGAACTACCAGGGTGGCTGACGACAGATTGAAGAGCGTTGTAAGATACTCAACTCCTGGTTCATCCAGTTGCTTCAACATCACCATAGAGATTCCGTCAGGACCAAGCGCTTTGGATGACTTTGCGCTTCTGATGACATGTGCAACATCTTTCAACGTAAATTGAGGTGGTACCTCCTCGCTGGAAGCGATCGTACACGGCGTAGGATCCTTCTCTTAGCCCTGTCACTCTTGGGGTGCTCTACAAACTGCCGGTTAAATTAACACGCGCACCTCTTCGGATCTGTCACTTCTACGACGTTGAATGAGACAGATGTCCCTTCGTCCTTTTTTCCAGGGTTCGAAAGCGACTTAACCGTTGCCCACAATTTACTCGTTCCGGTACCGATGTTGCAATGCTTCAGATGTTCTAACCACTTTTTCCGCTTATGCTCACCTACTAACCTGTTTACCTCCAGAGTAAGTTCCCTGACTCTGGGGTTATTAGGGTTAGTACGACGAAGCTTATCTCGCTCGTTTGCTAATCCCGCTGCCTCTGCTGGGAAGTTTGGTCTTATTTCAGGTACTCGACCAACAGGTATATAGTGAGCGGCTGCAGCTTTGATGATGTCCCGGAAACACCTATCTTCTAACTGAACATCAGATGGGTTGGGCAGTTCTCTGAAGCGGCGATTGGTATATTATCTGAATTCTTGCCAATTGGCTTTCCGGTGGTTAAGGAAAGTTCGACGTTCAGAGTCAATGAAGTCGCGTGGTCTGTTGATGGCGACAATAATGGAGATGTGGTCTGAGCCTAGAGAAATGACTGATTGCCAAGTTACGTCATTCGTCAGACCTGGGGACACGATGGATATGTCCGGAGAACAGTGGCAGTCTCCCCTCATTCTGGTGGGCGCGTCCTCGTTCACTGTGCAAAACGTGCAGCTATCAATTTGCTCAGCCAGCGCCGTGCCTCTCTGGTCATTAGCTAGGACGGAATGCCATAATTCACGTTATTGGAATAATTCATAATTCAAGTTATTGCCTACCAGAAGTGAACTGATATTCGGCATATAACGTGGGGCACAGCTATTTAACGGCGGAATGTACACGTTGAGCGCCCCTACCTCGGCGGTTCCACACTTGACCGCTACCCCCATGCATTCCATGTACGGGTCACTAGAGTGGTACTCAGCTTCGTTTACTGGATCGCTGCGACCCTGATGTTCTTCCGACTCATGAAGTTAACGATTTCGTTAATCTTACCTCTGAAACCATCACAATTAAACTGGAGAAATGACGCATTATCCGGAACTTGAACAGCAATGTGTGGCGTCAACTGCTGCATTAATTGCAAGAGGAAGCAATGTAATATCGCTGTACTCCTCTATCCTGTTTAAGCCGGAACAATTCCGGAAATGCACCCACTCCATGCATCCGTTGCATCTCACCGAGACCAAGAGCAAATGTTGCTCCCACATCAGAAAAATGGACGAACACGAACATGTATTTGCTGGGTTGGCGGCTCCTGGTTGGATATTTGTACCTCCGAGTCAATCCGGTACATAGAACTGGCCGCCGTGGGATTGAAAAAAAAAGCTAAGTAATAACAACTGGCTGATATTCAGATGACTTTTCAACAGATTTGTAGTTAGTTGAATAATAATTCATTTATGAACTATCTTCCCTGCGAAACTATTATCAACCAGTTGAGAAAATCGTTGGTTATAAATACATTATTCTACAACTAACTACAAATTGGATGAAAAGTCATCTGAAGTTAAGAAACCACAACTGGTTGTAAAATGATCTAAAAGTCAACCAATTTGAATAAAAAAAAAATAAAAAAAGGCATAAACAACAAAAATGACACACTGCTACAAAAAAAAAAAAAAAACAGTGCCGCAAATAGAAAATAAAGAATTTGACAATCAAAAGTAAATAAAAAATACGAAAAACTTTTTGAACTTTTTAACATATTTTTTATATAGTTTATATAGTATTTATAGTATAATAGTTTAAAAGTAACTAGTTTATTGTTGGTTTAAAAGTAACCAGCTTATATTTAGTTTCAAAGTAATGAAGGAATGAACAATTGTCCACAGCCTAGCTCATCACCATATTAAAATAGTTAGTTGGCGTAAAGGAAATAAATCAAAAAATAACTAGTTGTGTTTTTTTAACTAATTTTAGGTTAGTTTTAAACCAATTTATTTCCCCGCAGGGTGGGGAATGAAAAGCTTGTACAGCGTTTTGCTTCCTTCTTCTTATATCTTCAGGAATGTCGGGGCAAGCAATAATAATAATGAAAAGAAACAATGAAGAAAGGTAAAGAACAAATAATTAGTATTTCCCCCAAAGCAATAGGGGCAACGTTTATCCAATGTTGTTTATAGAACAATATACCCCTTGGACAAATGACATAATTTGTAGGAGCACATATTTCTTTAGCTGGTCGACTTAATAGTGCGTTTCTCGAAGAGTAGACAGAATGCGGAAATTGTCTATACTTTTGACAAAATGTAAAAAGAACATTTTAGAGTGTTATACACTATATTGGGAGGACAAAAACACCCGTGCAACAATTAAAAATTAACTCTAGATTGCACAATTCTGCAAAGTAATGCTAGTTATTTTTTTTTGTGATCTCCGATACCACGAAACCTGGAAATGATAGCATCAAAAGAAAGTACGTCCTCGTTAACAGAATCGTACATTGCATTAAAAAAAATTGATTTTTGAATATTTGCGAAAAAATAATGATTTTTTCGTTCGTTCGAGGCAAATTCCGTTTTCGCAGACATTTTGTTTCAAATATACGTTAGTCTTTGACTTTGTTTCTGATGCTTTATTTAATACTAACTTAAACCCTTGGAACGAGTTCCAAAAATGTATTAATTTTCTATATGTTGATAACAATTCAAATATGTTTTCTTCCTCTTGAACAGTAAAGTCCATATATATCGGATAATGTTTCGAGAAGCAAGGGGGCAGTTATCTCTCATACATTATATGTTTTTTTATTGTTCGAATGCAAAATGCAATACTAACGACGTACAAATGCTGTACACAGTGATGCTTTCTGTTAGTATGTAGATTCCACAAATGGATTTAAAATCCAGAAGATCTATTTTTACACTCTCTTTTATTTTATTCTTTATCGACCCCGTACAGTATATATATATTCATGATCAGCACAACATTTTATGTCGATTTAACGATGTCCGTTTGTATGTTCAAATCATGATACATTATTTGACGGAGAGCTTTGACATTTTTCCCAATAGTTTGTATTGTATTTAGATGGTTGGTATTGAAAATTATATATTGGGCTACGTTTTCTTATAGCTCCATATAACGGTATTACCCCATATGGGATATTTTGATTATTTTAGCCACATTGTATTTCGTATTTTTCTAAAGATAGGTATTTGGATTTCGTAATGGGTTGTGTATATAATTTTCATGTTTTAGTATAGCCCATGCAACGGTACCTCCCGATA